GGTGTGGAATATGGAATGCAGAATTAAATTCTCTTTTTTCCCTTCATAAGTTTCTGTGTATTCTTTGGAAAATCTCCCATTAATTTAGTAGTACAATTTTAATTATATTGTAAATCAATTACACCTTTAAAGTTCTCTATTGACTCAGTAAATGAAAAAATAGTATTTTGTTTCTTTATAAAATAAAATTTTAATTTGTTTATTATCAACTTTATTTATGTCTCTACAAGTTAATTCTGCAGGTTCTAGAATTTTACTTAAACAGAATCATGGCTATAGACTATTTTGAACTTGGCTTTTTTCACTCAGCTTAATGTGTTTTTAAAATTTATCATGTTACTGGAAGTAAAGTTAATCCATTACCTTCTCATTAGTGTACAGTATTCTCTAGTATATATACACAACAATTTGTAGATTCATTCACTGGTTGATGGAGAGCTGGGTTGTTTCCAGATTTGCACTATGAGGAATAAAGCCAATGAGCATATGTGTGCAAGTCTTTTCATGTGCCTAATTTCACAGTTATTTTTGGTGAATACTTAGGAGTGAAACTATTTGGTCATATATTAAAGGTATCCTTTACTTTGTAAGAAAGTGCCAGACGCTTTTGCAAAGTGTAACATTTTGCATTCCTACCAGGAACGTATGAAAGTTTCAACCACACTATTTGGTATTGTTCATCTTTTAAATTACAGCGATTCAAATCGATGTGGTTTTCTTTCTCAGTGAAAGTTGGGGTGCAGGTGTCTTTTTGAATTAAAGTTCCCTCTGGATATATGCCCAGGAGTGAGATTGCTGGATCATATTATATGGTTAAGTCTATTTTTAGATTTTTGAGGACTCTCCATCCTGTTTTCCACAGTGGCTGCACCAAACTGTTAGAATGTTAGAATGGCCATTATGAAAAGGCCAAGAGATAACAAATGCTGGCAAGGATGTGGGGGGAAGAGAGCCCTGGTGCACTGTTGGTGGAACTGTGTCCTCGTACAGCCTCTGAGGAAAACAGTATGGAGGATTCTCAAACAAATTAAAATGGGCCATATGACCCAGGAACTCTATTTCTGGGAATATTTCCAAAGGAAATGAAAAAAAAACTACACCCCCATGTTCATAACAGTATTCTTTAGTATTATTTACAATAACCAAGACATGATAGCAACTTAAGTGTCCCTCAGTGGGTGAATGGATAAAGAAGATGTGGTATATACACACAATGGAATGTTATTCAGCCATAAAACAAAGAGGAAATTCTGTCATTTGTAATGACATGGATGGACCTGGAGAGCATTATGCTAAGTGAAATAAGATGGAGAAAGAAAAATACTGTATGATCTCACACATATATATATGGAATCTGAAAAATAAAAATCAAACTCATAGAAAAAAAGATCAGATTTGTGGTTACCAGAGGTGAGTGGTATTGAACCAGAGTGGTCAAAATGTACAGTTATAAGATATGTAAATACTAGGGCTATAATATGCAACATAACTATAATTAACATTGCTTTTATTTTTACTTTGATTTCTGTTGCCTTGTTATACTGTCCTGGAAGAGCATGGCTAAGATTTATACCTGTCTTCTTAAATATAGTAACTGTATTAAAGATAAGCCCAAAGCATCTGTGTCTGATACTTTCATTATTTAGGTTCTGTGATCTCTTTCTACAGTCTGTTATAGATTTTGGTTTCAATAACATTTTTTTCCATGTGTTCAATATTTTTTCTACAAATTGAATAACATTTTTCAGTAATGTTTTCCCACATGTAACATCTTTTCATATAGTGGTTTTACTGAGACAATTTATATGCCATGTCATTCACCCATTTAATGTGAGCAATTCAGTAATGTTTATTATAGTCACAGAACTGTGCAATGACCACTAAATCAGTTTTAGAAAAATTTTATCATCCCCAAACACCAATTTATTAGCACTTACTCCCCAATGCCCCCAATTTTCTCTCTCTTGAGACTGCTGTAGACCTTCATAAGTACTAATCTATTTATGTCTATAAATTTCCCTATTCTGGACATTTCACATGGATGGAATCATACAATATATGGTACTTCGTGACTGGCTTCTTTTACTTGGCATTTTTCAAGGTTCATCTGTGTGCATTTTGTTACTGCACTCCATTCCATTGCTAAACAATCTCCCACTGTACATATATACCACATTTTGATTACCCATTTATCAGCTAGTATACATTTCCCAGCACAGTTTTTATTCTATTATGACTAATGCTGCTATAAGTATTTATGTACATAATTTTGTGTAGACATATGGTTTTATTTCACTTTGGTATATATATAGCTAATATTGAAATTGTTGGGTCATGTAGTATGTCTTTGTTGAACCTTTTGAGAAACTGCTAGAATGCCTTTCATAGTGGTTAGTATGAGTCCAGGATTTGCAACCTCATTGTATTTTTATAAAATTCACATTATACCTGCTAAGGCTGTGATACGGTCTGACTATGTCCCTCCAAATTCATATGTTGGAATCCTAATCTCTAAAAATAGTGGTATTAGCAGGTGGGGATGTTGGGAGTTGCTTAAACCACAAAGTTGGAACCCTCATCAGTGGAGTTAATGCTTTTATAAAAGAGGCTCCAGAAAGATCTTCGGCCCACCACGTGAGGACAAAGTGAGAAGGCACTGGCTATGAACCAGGAAGGGGCTCCTCACCAGAAGGTGGCCGACCTGGAACCTTGATGTTGGACTTTCCTGCCTCCAGAACTGTGAGCAATACATTTCTGTTATTTATAAGTTACCCAGCCTGTGGTGTTGGCAACAGTGACCCAAACAGACTAGGACAGACTACCGTTACAGTGTACTCTAAACTGGGTGGCTCAAGCAGCAGGCATTTATCGTCTTATAGTTCTGCAGGCTACAAAACCCATATCAAGGTGTCAGCAGGGCTGGTTTCATCTCAGGGCCATGAGGGGAGGACCTGTTCCAAGCCTTTCTTTTTGGCTGAAAGCTGGTCAGTCTCTCGCTGTGTCTCCTCGTATCAGTCTGTGTTCAAATTTCCCCTTGGACACCAGTCACATTGGAGTAGAGCCCACTCTAATGACTTCATTTTAACTTGATTACCTCTATAAAGACCCTATCTTCAAGTGAGGTCACATTCACATACACTGGGGGTTAGGGCTTCAACATGTGACATTTTGGAGGCAACGATTCAATCCATAACACCCACTATACCCACGCCTCTGTTGCCGAGTCCAAACTTGTTCTGCTCACCACACAACAGGCCAGCAAATTGGGAGACGAGGTGTTAGGGCAAGGAATAGCGACTTTTCTCAGAAAGCTTGCAGGCTGAGAGGACGGCAGATTAATGTCTTCAAGAACCATCCTGCTCCAGTCAGAATACAGGCTCCTTTTATTAAAAAAAAAAAAAAAAAAGGGAGGCGGTGGGGTTGGTTGTTGCAAACTTCTTTTTTTTTTTTTACATTTTTTATTGATTCATAATCATTTTACAGTGTTGTGTCAAATTCCAGTGTTCAGCACAATTTTTCAGTCATTCATGGACATATACACACTCATTGTCACATTTTTTTTCTCTGTGATTTATCATAACATTTTGTGTATATTTCCCTGTGCTATACAGTGTAATCTTGTTTATCTA